TCGGAAATGCAGAAGCGTGGTGGGCAGTATACAGCGGCTAGGTTTAGGTAGCCGCTCTGAATTTCAATATGAATTTCTGTTGCCTGTAGATAAGGTGTAGCAAATGAAGGCAATGGATAATGCCTAATGCGATTCTTGATCAGAACGCCAGTACCTCCATGTGCCTTACCATCGGGATGATTTGTCGCATAGAAGTTATAGCCATCGAGGTGAAAATATTCGATTTATTCGAATTTCTCTGTCTCTGCTATTTCTGTCATTTCGTTTTGTGCACTACTTCGTTCTAACTCATACAACCGAATGTTGAAAAGTGTGAAGCACACACACACTCCCATTCGTATGAACTCAATTGATTGTGTGTGTGTCACTCACTCAACTCAATTCAATTCGAATGGATTATATTGAAATTTTTCTTTGAATGGAGCTACGCATATCTCTAGTTTTTAAATTCAATATTTTGGTAAAAAGACCGCAAAAAAATTATAATTATACCCGTACTCAAAAAAGAGTTAAGGGGTATATTAGATTTGTGGTAAAAGTGCATGTGTGTAACGCAGAGAAGGAAACGTTTCCGACCTCATAAAGTATATATATTCTTGATCAGCATCAATAGCCGAGTCGATATAGCCATGTCTGTCTGTCCGTCCGTCCATCCGTCTTGTTGAGCGCCTGGATCTCAGAGACTATAAGAGTTAGGGTAACCAAATTTGGTTTCCAGGCGCATGTGATATGACACTGCTACAAGTGTATTTCAAAATTTCGCCCCGCCCCCTTCCGCCATCACAAAAGACGAAATTCTGTGGCAGGCACATTTTTAAAGATACGATAAAACTAATAGCGCAGTATCCTAGAGAATGCCCATATCTACCAGATTTCTGAATCTGAATTAGATCGGATCATAATTATAGCGAGAATGAAGAAATTAATTTTCTGTTAGTTCTTCCGCCCCATCCTGACAGAGACCCGCTATCTATCTCTACCTATATCACACTCTGCTGCGTTCAAAGCGCGAACAACCCCAAGCGGAGGAGATGTAGAATATGAATGGTACATCTATAATCTACATGTTAGATGTAAAATATACATTGTACATATGTGTAGATGTAGCTAACAGATGCAGCAAAAAAATGTAAAATGTAAAATTTTTTTTTTTCCAAAATTCTAAAAAATTATGACTCAAAAATGTATTTACTGACTGAGTACGGGTATAAGTAGAGTCGCGTCCCCAGAAGCGACTCGCATGTTTCTTCTCGTTTTTTTTTTTATTACGGGATTTTATTTATCGAATCTTCCCTATTAGAGACTGACGAAAAGTATGCAAATCTCTACGTAATATATTTATTTATTCTATCCAGATGAACACCAAGGTATGTTACTTCGGTGGTTTGTGGAATGTTGATATTGTTCAGACAAAACAGAGGTCAAGTTTGTCTGTTTAACGTTAAGGTGATATGCTTGTACTTTTTCTCATTTAAGTCTATGCGCCAGTCTGCTAGCCATTTTTCTAAGGCCACGAGATGAGATGATAAGTGCTCCGTGGCCCTTCTTGGGCACTTGGAGCGACTTAATATGGCAGTATCATCAGCAAATGTCGAAGTTGTTGTTAGGCTGTTTGTCGGTAGATCTGCTGTGAATATGATATACAGTGTCGGTCCAAGCCTTGCGGTACACCAGCTTCAATTGGATGATATTCAGAGAGGAAATCTTTGCATCGTACTGCGAAACTTCTTTGCTGTAGGTATGACTCCAATATTCTATGGATGTTCTGTGGAAGTAATATTTTGATTTTGTGGACTAAGCCATCTAACCAAACGCGGTCGAAAGCCTGGGCGACATCCAGAAAAACAGCGGAGCAATAATCCCGTCTTTGAAATGCAGTTTGTATCTCAGAGGTTATACGGTTTACTTGTTCAATGGTTCCGTGTTTTTCGCGAAATCCAAATTGGTGAGTCGGGATGGCACCGTTGATGTGTAGGTGTTGTTTGATACGATTCAGAAGCAAATATCTTTGATAGGCAAGGCAGTAGGCTGTAAGGTCTATATGAATTGTCTTTTCCGGCTTTATGGATAATTGTGATGACTGAATTCCTCCATTCTTGAGGATAATAGCCCCATTTCATCATTCTGTTGAATATCACAGTAAGGAAATACACTGCACAGCTCGGCAATTCTATGATCATTATAGGGGAGATGAAATCGTGGCCCGGAGCTTTCTTTTGCTTTGAGACTTGGTCTTTAATGACCCCTGTGACTTCTCCTGATTGGAATATGATAGGCGGAGTAGCTTTGGGATTGTTGATTGGTGGGAGCACAAAGCTATTTGTTGCTGGGTGTGGTTTGAAGACATTTTCTAGATGGACGGCAAATGTATTTGCCTTCTCTTTGTTGCTGCGAGCCCACTCTCCTGTTTGTGTACGCAAAGGTCATTCACTCTCGATTGGTGGGCATACGCCTGATTTTTGCTTTCCACAGTGGGAATCGTTTGCTAGTTGGGGAGAGTTGCTCCATATAGGATATTTGAGCTCGGTTTTTTTCATCTTCTAGGGCTCTGCGTAGTAGGTGGTTGGCTATTTTTAGCCGCTCTTTCGAGGCAGGTGATCTGTGTGCTTGCCACTCACGGCGAAGCCTTCGATCTGTGGGCCAATATGTGGGCTTGCCCGGAAAGATAAAGTCTAGCTTGTTATTATAGCGTTATATAGTTGTCTTCTTGTAGTCACCAGCTGCTATAAATCGGTCACCTAGTAGGTCGAAGAATGTTACAAATTCTGTTTCGGAAATGCAGAAGCGTGGTGGGCAGTATACAGCGGCTAGGTTTAGGTAGCCGCTCTGAATTTCAATATGAATTGCTGTTGCCTGTAGATAAGGTGTAGCAAATGAAGGCAATGGATAATGCCTAATGCGATTCTTGATCAGAACGCCAGTACCTCCATGTGCCTTACCATCGGGATGATTTGTCGCATAGAAGTTATAGCCCTCGAGGTGAAAATAGTTTTTATTTGTTAGGTGAGTCTCTGCGTTGCACACATCCACGTTTACCACAAATACAATATACCCTTTTTGAGTACTTTTTATACTTTTTATATATATAAACTCTTGATCAGCATCAATAGCCCTTATCTATATAGCCATGTCTGTCTGTCCGTCTGTCTGTCTGTCTGTCTTGTTGAGCGCCTAGATCGCAGAGACTATAAAAGCTAGGGCAACCAAATTTGGTTTCCAGACTCATGTGATATCACACAGCTACAAGTGTATTTCAAAATTTCGCCCCGCCCCCTTCCACCCCAACAAAGGACGAAAATCTGTTTGATGATACGATAAAACTAAAAACGCAGTATCGTAGAGAATGCCCATATCCACCAGATTGCCGAATCTGAATTGGATCGGATCATAATTATAGCCAGAATGAAGAAATTAATTTTATGTTGTTTCTTCCGCCCCCTCCTACCAGACACCCGCTACCTATCTCTTTCTCGCTCGCACACTCTGCTGCGTTCAATGCGCGAACAACCCCTAGCGGAAGAGATGTAGAATATGAATGGTACATCTATAATCTTCATGTTAGATGTAAAATATACATTGTACATAGGTGTAGATGTAGCTAACAGATGCAGCAAAAAAATGTAAAATGTAAAATTTTTTTTTTTCTAAAATTCTAAAAAATTATGACTCAAAAATGTATTTACTGACTGAGTACGGGTATAAGTAGAGTCGCGTCCCCAGAAGCGACTCGCACGTTCCTTCTCGTTTTAATAAAGATCTATAAAATTCTATAGAAGACATAGGCGAACTATTATATAGCGAACGAGCGAATCGAGTGAGCAGTGTACTTGCCCCCTAGTATACTGATCAATATATATGCCGCGACCACGAATATCTAATGTTTCGCCACGGAGCAATTGCGAAGCAGTGAAACTAAACAATGGCAAAGTGAAATTGTAAATAAATCGGAATCCTTAGTCTGAATAGTAAAAAAAGATGGTTTTCAAATATGAATGAGGAAGAACGGGAATCCGTACGAGAGATAATAACACGAAGCATCCATATGCATAGCGGGAGACGGAATGGGAGTCGATCAACTGAAGACGACGGAAACAGGAATATAGTATTGGGTATTTTCTACTCTCCAATTATTGCAAAAATAAATTTAGATTGAACGTTGTTTAGTAGCTATTGAGGTTTACAATTTAATAAAAATAATAGTTTATTGGCATGTAGTAGCGGCAATACGAGTATGTATATTTATTGGTACAAGTATAGAGACCGAAATTTACGAAGATCAATACCAGACTAATCGCAGGGAAAATGGGACGACTGCCGTGCCCTATGCATAACTTCTTAACGAGAGCGTGAGAGCATTATGGCATAGCTCGGCGCGGCTTCTGAGCCGAGCACGAGCGGTAGATGGCTACCGAGAGAGCTGCTTGAACGCAGCAGCAACACCAAAGCAGCGGGAGACAAAGCTGCCAGAACAGCCGCTGCCGGGCGCAGGCATATGCATTACGCTGCTTGACCCGACATACTACCCCCCTTGGAAGCCTGACTTTCAACACCATCTTTAAGGGGAAGCAGACACAGCTTGTTAACGGCTCGCTTGGTAATTCCAGATGCAGTCTGCAGAACAGCGACTCGGGCGACACCATCTCTTCCGGGTAGTAGTTCGACCACCCTAGCTAGTGGCCACTTCATGGGAGGCAGATTCTTATCCTTAACAAGGACCACATCTGCGACTGCCAAACTAGGCCACTTTGAGCGCTGTTGCAGTGAAGTGATGTATTCTTCCTTCCATGGGGACCGGAAGATCTGCTGCAAATATGAAAAGCGCTGCCATCCGAGCGAAGTTTAGCTGAGTTACATCAGGCTCAGCAAATGAAGCAGGAGATCCGCCATTCAAGAAATGAGCTGGAGTTAAAACGTCCAGATCGGCAGGATTCTCTGATATGGATACTAAGGGTCTTGAATTAATAACTGCCGTGATATGGCATAACAGCGTTCCGAGGTGCCTATAGCAGATAGAAGTGATACTTGGCCGTCTTCACTACACCTTCCCACAGGCCTCCAAAGTGCGGGGAGCGTGGCGGTATGAAGTGCCAGTCAATAGCCTCAACCAAACAAAATTCCAGGACCGTCTTCTGATGGTCGTCGCTGAGGAATAGGCGCTTTAGATCCAAAAGCTCATTCCTGGCGCCGACAAAATTGGTTGCGTTATCTGACCAAATTTGTCGCGGCCTTCGTCTTGTGCATATGAACCGCTTTAGGCCGTGCAGAAAGGAGACTGTAGACAAATCCTTGATCAGCTCCAAATGAACAGCCTTAGTCGCAAAGCAAATGAAGACGCAGACGTAGCATTTGATTGGAGCCTTGTTGCGGGGGTCTGGCTTATAGAAAAAAGGGCCACAAAAGTCGACGCCTGTGATCTCAAAGGCATGAGATCCGTCTAGCCGCTCCTTCGGAAGATCCGCCATGATGTGCTCCAATACTCTAGGCTTCGTTCGAAAGCATCTTACGCACTTGTTTACGGCCTTGGTTACCGTTTTCCTCCCCCCAATAGGCCAATATTGGGATCGGATTAATCCAAGCAGAGCTCGAGGTCCAGCGTGCAGATTCCGTTCTAGAAAGTGAGAAATGATTGCAAACGTAAGCGGATGACTGCTGGGCAGGATGATGAGATGACGGCCATCAAAATCCAACATAGAGTCCGGGTTCAATGCTGTGGAAACATAGTGCCATTCCATTTGAGCAGTAAGTTCCTGTATCGTTGCCACTCTATTTGCGACAAATACGTTGAATCTGGACGGTTCGTTCCGAATCCAAGAGAGCGCAACTGACGAATCACACCAACAGTAAAACTTCCCTTTGAATACCTTCTTTCCGGCTATCTCAGATATGACTCTAGCTAGCAACTCCGCTCCACAAAGCTCCAGCTTTGGTACAGTCAGTGTTTTCAATGGAGCAACACGAGATTTTGCACAGAGTAAGTGACTTCTGAACCGCTGACCCTACGACACAACATAAAGCCTCATAAGCCCCAATGCTGGCGTCGCAAAATCTGTGAATTTCTAGCTCAAATTCGGAATAAGTACGAATCGAGGAAATTCATAGCGTCAAATGTGGCTAAAACTGCTACATATTTCCTGCCACGAGGTGTTCAGTGCTGATGGCAAGCTTTCAGGACAACTTCTTGCACAACTGCTGGAGAAAGATTTTGGCCTTTGTAATGACAGGTCCAGCTGGTCCAAAGGGGTCGTAGAACCGGGCTGTTGTTGACAAGACGGAAGCGCCTGCAGGGATGCGAAGACGAATGTAGGGCAGAAAATTAGAATACAAGTTGATCAGACACCGGATTCCAGGAAAGTCCTAATGTTTTGGTAAAATCGCTGCCATCGTCGAACTTCAAATAAGTTTCCTTGTCCTCCGGAACCCCATCGAGGACAGCAGGGACATTCGAACACAATTTTCTCAGTCGAAACTGGCCTCTAGACAAAATTCCTGTAGTTTGATACTAGAGTTATGTGAAAAAAAGAAGCGCTAGAAGGAACGTGTGAGTCGCTTCTGGGGACGCGACTCTACCTATACCCGTACTCAGTCAGTATATACATTTTTGAGTTTATGATTTTTTAGAATTATAGATATAAAAAAAAATTTTACATATTACATTATTTTTATCCTACTACGCAGAGCCCTAGAAGATGAAAAAAACCGAGCTCAAATATCCTATATGGAGCAACTCTCCCCAACTAGCAAACGATTCCCACTGTGGAAAGCAAAAAAAGCAAAAGCAAAAACCACCAATCGAGAGTGAATGACCTTTGCGTACACAAACAGGAGAGTGGGCTCGCAGCAACAAAGAGAAGGCAAATACATTTGCCGTCCATCTAGAAAATGTCTTCAAACCACACCCAGCAACAAATAGCTTTGTGCTCCCACCAATCAACAATCCCGAAGCTACTCCGCCTATCATATTCCAATCAGGAGAAGTCACAGGGGTCATTAAAGACCAAGTCTCAAAGCAAAAGAAAGCTCCGGGCCACGATTTCATCTCCCCTATAATGATCATAGAATTGCCGAGCTGTGCAGTGTATTTCCTTACTGTGATATTCAACAGAATGATGAAATGGGGCTATTATCCTCAAGAATGGAGGAAATCAGTCATCACAATGATCCATAAAGCCGGAAGAGACAAGTCCAAGCCATCATCATATAGACCTATCAGCCTACTGCCTTGCCTATCAAATATATTTGAAAAGCTGCTCCTGAATCGTATCCAACAACACCTACACATCAACGGTGCCATCCCGACTCACCAATTTGGATTTCGCGAAAAACACGGAACCATTGAACAAGTAAACCGTATAACCTCTGAGATACGAAATGCATTTGAAAGACGGGAGTATTGCTCCGCTGTTTTTCTGGATGTCGCCCAGGCTTTCGACCGCGTTTGGTTAGATGGCTTAATCCATAAAATCAAAATATTATTTCCACAGAACATCCATGGAATATTGGAGTCATACCTACAGCAAAGAAGTTTCGCAGTACGATGCAAAGATTTCCTCTCTGAATATCATCCAATTGAAGCTGGTGTACCGTAAGGCAGCGGCTTGGACCGACACTGTATATCATATTCACAGAAGATCTACCGACAAACAACCTAACAACAACTTCGACATTTGCTGATGATACTGCCATATTAAGTCGCTCCAAGTGCCCAAGAAGGGCCACGGAGCACTTATCATCTCATCTCGTGGCCTTAGAAAAATGGCTAGCAGACTGGCGCATAGACTTAAATGAGAAAAAGTACAAGCATATCACCTTAACGTTAAACAGACAAACTTGCCCTCTGTTTTGTCTGAACAATATCAACATTCCACAAACCACCGAAGTAACATACCTTGGTGTTCATCTGGATAGAAGGCTTACTTGGCGTAAACACATCGAAGCGAAGAGAAATCTACTTATATTTAAAGCTAGTAATCTACATTGGCTAATAAACACCCGTTCACCACTACAACTGGAGCACAAAGTACTTTTGTACAATGCAGTTCTCAAGCCCATCTGGACATACATACATACGGACATACGAGCTATGGGGAAATGCTTGCGTTAGTAATTTAGAAATAATCCAGAGAGCTCAATCGAAGATACTAAGAAGTATCACTGGGGCACCATGGTACATACGGAATGAAAATATCCGTAAAGACTTAAATGTAGGATCAGTTAAAGATAAAATTGCCAAAGTGAAAGCAAAGTACCAGGCCAAGCTTCAAGCTTAATTAAGTGTAATTAAATATATAAATATATTACGTAGAGATTTGCATACTTTTCGTCAGTCTCTAATAGGGAAGATTCGATAAATAAAATCCCGTAATAAAAAAAAAACGAGAAGAAACATGCGAGTCGCTTCTGGGGACGCGACTCTACTTATACCCGTACTCAGTCAGTAAATACATTTTTGAGTCATAATTTTTTAGAATTTTAGAAAAAAAAAAATTTTACATTTTACATTTTTTTGCTGCATCTAACATGTAGATTATACATGTACCATTTAGATTCTACATCTCCTCCGCTAGGGGTTGCTCGCGCACTGAACGCGGCAAAGTGTGCGAGCGAGAAAGAGAATGAGTAACGGGTCTCTATCTGTTGGAGGCGGGGGAAGCAACTGAAATTTAATTTCTTCATTCTGGCTATAATTATGATTCGATCTGATTCAGATTAGGCAATCTGGTAGATATGGCCATTATCTACGATACTGCGTTTTTAGTTTTATCGTATCTTTAAAATTTTTCCTGCCACAGACTTTCGTCCTTTGTGGTCGCGGAAGGGGGCGGGGCGCCCCCTGTGATATCACATAAGTCTTTAAACCAAATTTGGTTTCTCTAGCTCTTATAGTCTCTGAGATCTAGGTGCTTATCAAGACGGACAGACGGACATGGCTATATTGACTCGGCTATTGATGCTGATCAAGAATATATATACGTTATGGGGTCGGAAATGTTCCCTTCTCTGCGTTGCACACATCCACTTTTACCACAAATACAATGTACCCCTTAACCCTCGTGTCGACTAGTGTAGTAGAAATGTTGATCTTTGATATAAAATTAACTTTTTCTGTTTAACATAACCGTACGCCAAATTATAGCTGCTTAAACTAGAGTGTTAAGGGCGTATGTACGAATAATATGTGTGCTTACTGTACGTATTCACCCACATCCAAATCATTGCTCACACACATCTAATCACAACCAAGATTTTCTTATATGTATACTAGCTGACCCGGCAAACTTCGTACCGCCTAACAGTCAATGAATGTCGTGTTACTTTTTAGTTGAACTAATTTAGGCTTTATTTTCATTCAAGCACTTTGTGGTAAACGACATTCTTTGTTTTTTGGTCAGGCGCAAGAACAAATAAAGCGGATGGTTTGCCGACACGTGAGCATGCCACGTACAATTGACCATGAGAAAAACATGCATTTTCTAGATTGAGGCCACAAATAGTCAAGGATTGGCCCTGTGATTTGTTGATCGTCATGGCGAAGGCACGACGAATCGGCATATCCGTTGGGATCATCGAAATCCTTGGAATAAGAACTTCCTCATCTTTAAATTTTCCTTTAAGTATCGACGCGTGAATAACATTGCTCATCAGTTTTCTTATCACCAAACGCGTTCCATTACACAGTTTTGGTTGGTTTAAATATCTAAGCATGATGACTACCGAGCCAACTTTAAGTTTTAAATTGTGCGGTGGTAAACCAGGCACATCCAAGGAGTTTAAAAATTCAGTTGGATAATTAGTGGCTTCTTCTTCGTTTGTTACACAGTCGATAGATTTGAATGAATACAGAGTACCTACGATTTGATTTTGAATTATAATATTGAGGTCATCTACATCTTTATTTTTAGCGGCCAAAATTGCTCGCTCACTTAACCATTTAGTATTTTTGTGGTTAGAAATGATATCCGGGAATACTTTGTTGATAAGCTCGTCTTTTGATGATACGAAATTGCAAAAATTTGGAGGAAATGCAATCAAACCGCTCGATTTGTCAACAGGAACACGGCCATTACCGATAGTCAGCAATTGCTTCGAGAAATTATCAGCAGATAGATCGTTCAACAATGCAACTCTCATATTTACATACAGTTGAAGTTTCTTTACATATCGCCACAGATTTGATGCTTTGAGGCAAGCGTTTATTTCGTCGGCAGCTGTAGATCTTGGAATGACTGGTAGTGTTTGTCGGAAATCGCCAGATAATAAAATCATTACACCACCAAAACATCTCGAGTCATTGCGCGTTTGTGCGCCATTGTGCATTCGTCCCATATGATGATTTTTGATGCTACTAAAACTTTGGCCATTGCGGAGTGTTTCGAAATGTTACATGTCGGTTGTTCAGTAGTTTGAAGGTTTAATGGCAATTTTAACGCTGAGTGAGCCGTACGGCATCCGTCTAACAATGTGG